TACTGGTGATGTGACACCTTCGGTGGCGTGGCACCTACTGTACTAGTGGTGTGGCACCTACTGGTGATGTGACACCTTCGGTGGCGTGGCACCTACTGTACTAGTGGTGTGGCACCAACTGGTGATGTGGCACCTACTGGTTGTGTGACATCTTCGGTAGTGTGGCACCAACTGGTGATGTAGCACCTACTAGTGGTGTGGCATCAACTGGTGATGTGGCACCTACTGGTGGTGTGGCACCCAATGGTGGTGTGACACCTACGGTGGTGTAGCCGGTCTGGAAATCGTGCTCGCAGACCCCAAATACGAAAGATTTTACAGCTATGTTTTTGGGCCGTGATCGTCACATGGCTGATGGCATGACCGGATTTGAATGCCATTATTATGGAGTTATGGATGCCTGGGTGTCCACGAAATAGTCTCTCCAAAATAGTCTGCTCTTTTTCGTGGGCTGGTAGCTCAGAGACTAAATGAGCTTAGGTCTTTTGAAGCGCAGGGCTATGAAATGAATCACCGAATGACCTTCCAGTTGACTATTTCAGTTCAAAACTCCACACAGATTTAGCACACTCTCTTTAAGATTTCGTTCATTCGCTCTTGTTGGGAAAAACAAGTGAGCCATGGTAACAATAGAATGCATCGCTGCATGCCTCTTTACATGGATTTATGAAAAAGGAGCTACTCAAATTAAGCTAAGTTGTAAAGGTTGCGACGAGACGTCTGAGTGCGGCTTTTTGAAACCGATGCACGCAGCTACGGGAAACAGCACCAACATAGTTTTCACGGTGTGCGTTTTGGAATTGCCGCAGTATGTAAGAAACATATCGCACTGGTGTTGATGAGAAAAACCTGAAATATGCCATGTGGGATGTGCCGCTGACCGCAACGACCAGAACGGGTTTTCTTGAAGAAGCCTGTTAAAGCATGACGTCACTCCACCAGTCACCCCGGCCATTGTCTGCGGCTTTGTGGAGCCGAGGCACACCGGTGAGTGACGTCAACATACCGAAGAACCAATCTCAACGGCTAGAGTGCAGCTGTGAGGCTCAGAACAATCCTAAATAGCGGTGAAGATGCCAACACTAGTGAGCCGTGGAACTGACGACACGGATGATGTCACGGGGTGACACGTGGTGTCGCCGACACGCATGACGTCACGGAGGTGCCGCCGACACGCGTGACGCCACGCACTTGGCGGCCGGACCTGGCAGCGGTGACGGTGCCCGAGCCAGGCCGACCGCAGCGCCGCCCTGGCAGTGCGACTCGGAAGCGTGAGCGTCTCCAAAGTCCACCAGAGAGCGCGCGCGCGGCTACAGCGTCTGCGGCAGCTTGGCCTCGACCGTGACGATGATGGTATAACGGTAGAGGGGCAGGAGCGCGGCCTTGTGGGTAGCCGACGCCGGCAGTGCAGGTGGCCGCACGGCAACCCGCACCGCCACCTTGTTGGCCTGGTGCCACATCACCACACTGAGGAGCGCCGCAGGCGGTGTCAGTCGCGCAGCTGAGGCGCCGACCCGCCCGTCCATCCCATCATCCACAATGTCACCACCACACACGTCACACATTTTGTACTGAAAGAAATTCATTACCATGCACTGTTAATGCAGAACAATTCTAAGCCCTCGCCATATCTCTACTAACGACGAATACAAACAGTCGTCTTTTCCATCGCGGTCCACTGCGGAACAGCTGAACGCTTCATATTCCTATTAAGAATGAACATCAAACAGCGAAGCGTCCTATAACGCTCACGGCGCACCTATGTGTGTCATGCATCGCTGACACGCGTTTTTCAGGGCGCACATTGCCGAGCACGCTCACCAGCGAGCCTGCGGCTATTTACTGGTGGACGCAATCAATTAGCGGGGCTCGGATTTCTCTGAGCACTTCTCATGCTGAAATATGCGGCAAAGTTCACATCTTCACGCTCCGACACGCAAGAGGCACGGCCTTCATTTAAAACAGTCAATGAAATAATGATTAGATTATATAAAAGCTGCCTTAATAAAGCTGCTTTCTCTCTTAAAGCAAGTACAGCCACTGTATTACCACAACTCACATGAGCTCATTACAAAATGCAGTTTCTGCCGTAGGCAGAGATCGTGCTGGCTACGCGCGACGAACCAGCCGGGTTTGATGAGGCGCCCACGTCGTCTGAGTTTAGACACTGTCCCAGGTCGGGGTTATGTGTGACACCAGGTCAATGGGTCATGCTAAGCCGGGTCAGAGGACCAGATGGCCAGAAAGTCCCAACACTAATTTTATGCATGTCATGCTGATCACGCGATTGGTATACAAGTGCCTTTGTTGAACTTCGTCATGTTAATGCCACGTGTGTCTGTTTTTGTTTGCTAGTTCGCCAACAGCGCGCCGGCGTGACGCAGCTGCCCTCCAGTGAGTCACCTTACAGACGCGCATTTGTTTCAATACAACACGGGCTACACACGCAAAGGCAGCTGGCAATGATCCGCACAGCAGTCGCCTTCATGCCCGTCTGAGCTCTTCAGACCCATTTTCCAAACGGGAACGAGGCCGAGGTCCGCGATTTGCAATGCTCGGCGTCCCTCACACAATGAGGAGCTCCTGTGTCGGTCAGGGGCCAGATTACCTAAAAGGGGTCATGTGGCGGCAAGTGGCCCCGATTCGCCCTGAAGCGGCGTTTGTGTAGGTGTAGTGTGGATCAAAGCAGTCAATAACATTTTCCCCACGTCTCCTCTCCCCCGTGTCCCTTCTCATCATACGGCAACACCCAACTGGTGGTGTGGTACCTGCTGTACTAGTGGTGTGGCACTAACTGGTGATGCGGCACCTACTGGTGGTGTGGCACCTACCTTACTAGTAGTGTAGCACCTACTGGTGGTGTGGCACCTACTGTACTAGTGGTGTGGCACCAACTGGTGATGTAGCACCTACTAGTGGTGTGGCACCTACTGATGGTGAAGCACCTACTGTGCTAGTGGTGTGGCACCAACTGGTGATGTAGCACCTACTAGTGGTGTGGTACCTACTGATGGTGAAGCACCTACTGTGCTAGTGGTGTGGCACCAACTGGTGATGTAGCACCTGCTAGTGGTGTGGCACCTACTGATGGTGAAGCACCTACTGTGCTAGTGGTGTGGCACCAACTGGTGATGTAGCACCTACTAGTGTTGTTGCACCTACTGATGGTGAAGCACCTACTGTACTAGTGGTGTGGCACCAACTGGTGATGCGGCACGCACTGGTGGTGTGGCACCTACCGTACTAGTAGTGTAGCGCCTGCTGGTGGTGTGGCACCTCCTACTGGTGGTGTGGCACCTACTGGTGGTGTAGCACCTACTAGTGGTGTGGCACCTATTGTTGGGGTGACCCCTTCCCCTTTCCCGCAGGTGTGGCAGCTTTGTTTTGACACAATCAGCTGCTTTTCAAGTGCGTGCTCTTACATTTTACGCCACCTTGTTTTACTTGAACATCTTTAGGTTGCATGATCTGCTTACGTCCATCGCTGCAAACTATCCATGGTATTAGTTTGGAGGCGCCTCTGACCAACCGTGCAGCCTACAGACCGGCGCCGCACCGCGGGCGCTAGGCGCAGCCCGACCTTGGTACGCAAGGCCAAGCCAAACAACGCCCAGAAACGATCGGAGTCCAGGGGCGCGCCCAGCGAAGCGTGCCACCGGGCTTCTCAACCGCATGGACAGACGAGCCACACAGCCGTCTCTTATGACCATGGATCGCGACTTGTCCCTCGAGATCTAAACATCTCCCCTCCTCCCTCTCGGTGAGCCTCTGAGCCTGTTTGTTCCTCCCTCCCTTGGTGAGCCTCTAAGGCTTCCCCTCCCCTCCCCCAGCACCGGCGAGTCTCTAATTTATAGGCGTCTGGCGTACCTGAGAGGCGGGGACGGGCATCCAGTTTTAAGGCAACCAATCCAGTGGCGTGGTAAGGTGAGTGGGGCGGTACTGGGACGCAGTTCAGTTGCTGCAGCAGTGCCGTCAGCCCACCCACCTGCTGATGCGACGGATGATACAGCCGCGCCATCAGCCCACCCGCCTGCTAATGCGATGGCTGATGCAGCCGCGCCATCAGCCCACCCGCCTGCTGATGCGACGGATGATACAGCCGCGTCGTCAGCCCACCCACCTGCTGATGCGACGGCTGATACAGCCGCGCGTCAGCCCACCCGCCTGCTGATGCGACGGCTGATACAGCCACGCCGTCAGCCCACCCGCCTGCTGATGCGACTGCTGATACAGCCGCGCGTCAGCCCATCCTCCTGCTGATGCGACGGCTGACGCAGCCGCGCCGTCAGCCCATCCGTCTGCTGATGCGACGGCTGACGCAGCCGTGCCATCAGCCCAACCGCCCGCTGATGCGTCTGCTGATACAGCCGCGCGTCAGCCCACCCTCCTGCTGATGCGACGGCTAACGCCGACTCGGCGGAGCTAGCATGCCGATCTGCTAAAATATGCTACCCATTTGTTTCATGACATGCAGTGAAATGGTGGGCTTAGGCCGGGAAACGATGCTGGTGATGTGCGGTTAACTAGGTCCGAGAGTATTGCGACCGCATTTGTCGGAGGGTGAAAGTGCTTGCGCGTGCTTGTCGCACCATGCGATGCCAGCGTGTTCAAGGTTACACGGTTACGACGTCTCAGTTACTAAACGTCCTATAAACCAAGGCAGCAACTCTCCCAATGCATTAGCACAATGCATGCATTCCGACTGTTATTGAATACGCATTGCATTCAATTTCCGCTCAATGAAAGGTCAAACTCTCCACTCAAGGATTGACTGACGAGCAGAACTACCCCACGGGCCCGCGCTCGGCCAGCTCTTCGTCGGGCTGATTACGACCAGGCGGCTCCTGCATCTGAGAGACGTGACGTCACAGCCGACACGGCCCAAGTGACGTTACCAGCACGGGGCGTCGCTGCCGCGCAGCATTACCAAAGTCCAGCGCGTGCCTCGGCACGCCACCCCTCCCCCTCCGTCCCCCTCCCTCACCTGCAGAGCGGCTTACCTCTGACGAGCGTCGCGACGACCGCAGCGGTTCACCTACGCACAACAGACTGCTATGGACTGACTCATCGTTCCGAGCGCCGTCTGGCGGCGGTCCGCCGCACTACTCCAGAGTCGCATAGCTCGCCCAACAGCGGGTCCAGCGTACGAGTTGTGGGGGGGGGGGGGGGGGCGGGGCAGCAGAAGCTTTGGACTGCGACGCTATTCTGCTGCCAGGAGCGTCCGCTTTCCCGCTTATTTCCTTGACCTGTGCCACGAGGAGATAATCAGCATGGCGACTAAGCCTATACGATCATGGGCATTGGAGATGCCGATGATCACGTCAGAGGCCCACGTCATTATCGAGACTGATCTTGAGATAGTCTGCACGACATAATCTGCACAAGCTCGTGAGCGCTAACATCAGAAACGGGCAAGTTATAAACGGGCGAAAGAAACGGGCGAGTCTCAAGAAGGCATGGCTGTAAACTGCAACCGAGTGATCTATCTCAGTTTTCTGTGATTGTGCATTCGGAAAAATCACAGATAAAACTGCCCATCTCAGTTTTCGGCGCCTTTTTTCTTTCGTTAACCCCTGGCAGCATATTACGTAATGCTAATGCATACCTCAGTTGCAACCTTTGTGCAAAAGTGAACCACTCCTTGCAATGCTCCTGGGCCGGTCATAGCACGGATTTGCAAAGTCAATGCAGTCAATTTAAAATGTTGATTGTCTCGCTCGGAAGGTGCGATCATGCTCATTTGGTAATTATACGGGACAGCTATCGGCTGGCACTAAAAGAGGGTTGGGGATCGAAAATGGTCATTTTATTGCCAAGAATCCTGACAACGGAACACTGAATGCTGGCAGTCAGCTTAGAGCGAGGTGACGAATGAAAAAAATGCGTATGATACTCACGAAGATGATTGTTTACTGTCGTTATTAAGGATTTTCTTTATGGCTTAAAGGTGAGACCACGATACATTTTTTTTCCATTGAAGCAGCGTTATCTGCCAAAGGTTCCCTTTTGTTTATCCATATGGTCTACCGACATCACATTTCTTTTTGCGGGAGAAAGCCCTGCAGCGCGATGGCAAAAATACGGCAGCGTTTTAGAATGCTGATAATCACGTGCGGAAGATGAATCTTTGGGTATTTCATGGCACTCAGGTTAGGGAGGGGTTGGGGGGGGGGGGGGCGAGAGAGTATGAGACGGCACGGTAGCGCATTAAAAAGTCTACAGCGACAATTTTGTTTCGTTTTCCCCTGGCAGCGTATTACGCAATGTTGACGCGGCGTCCGTGGCGTGAATGGGGACACGATAGTCATTTAAAAATACTTTGATCTAATTGAGAGATATCTATCGGCTGCAACAGAGCTGTAACAGAGCTGTCGGCCGAAGGCATCCCTTTTATCCATATGTCCCCCCCCCCCCCCTGACCGTGCATTTCGGCCCGCCGGCGGCATAACTGGAGCGTGGTGGCGATCACACGGGAGCGCTTCAATATTATCCGCAGTCCTGCGCCGAGAGTGCAACTGTGGCAATTCCTAACGAGGCGGCGGGGCTATAAGCTTGCTCTGTAACACCACTGTCGGCTCCCGGCAAACCTTCTATCAGGTTGAAAACTTGACTGCGCATCACTGAATTCTGAAGGACCGGTAGTGGAATTGCTCTGCGCGTTAACTGCAATAGTTTTAAATGCATTTTGGCATGCTCGGAGGAATTTTCCGTCGGTATTTGATAGTGGCGTGAGAGGGCCATCGACTACCACTGCAACAGTGTTATCGGCCAGAGGCGCCTGGTTTATTTTCACATGCCTCCGTCACAGCGCGTTGCACAACTTGGGCCACTTGCGATGAGGGCTGAGCCGAGCCGACACACGGCAGGGCTGTGTAAATATTTATAAGCATGCAAGGGGAGTGACCACATGCATCTGACATCCAAGAGGTCCGGAACGACTTCGGGCTGTCGCCTTACATCACAACAGCGCTAGTGATCAGTGGCACCTGTATCGTCATTGTCATTCCGTGCATGATCCTATTCTCCCATGTACTTTTCCCAAGGGTTACGACTTTGCTTTTTCGCGGCGTCGAATTGCCACCGCTCAACGGCCCAGTCGCTACCGCCGAGTTTTTGAACTGAAGGAACAGAATACGCACACGCTGTGTGTGAGCCGGCGGCCAGCGATAATTGAGGGGAATGTCCACATTTTAAGGCACTGAAGCAGGCATCAGATATGATGAGACAGGCTCACTTATCACTGCTGGTATATTTTGTAGTGGAAAAGACTCATAGGTGTCTATTTCTATTCTTGTGTGAGGGCTTTCGTCCTCCCAATGTTAAGGTGCCTCCCCCCCCAAAGTTGACTTGGCCACCCCTTTGTTTTTGGTTGGAATGCCACAAAAACGTGGGTAAAAGATGATCATAACACGAAGACTATCTTATTTTATCTTTCTGCGCTGTGGCGTCACGTAACACTCTCATCATAAAAAGTTATGGCTGCCCTCACCACCAGATTCAAATTGTAACAGCTGAGCGGATAAGCGATGCAATTAGCTTCTCATACCTAGCGCCACAAGGCACGCAATGTTTTGTGAGGTTAAAGTGAAAACCTCTAGAATACAGGGATAGTCTAAGCCCTTCATGGCTAACCCTATCTCCATTCCCACAACCAAAATGTGTGCCGCCTCCAATGACCGCCTTCACGTGCCGATCAAAAGAGGCCTGTTCGTCCAGTTCCTGCTCCCTGGATCTAACCGTGTATAGCTTCTATGCTGCTTAAACTGAATACTTGTGTAAATTATACAAAGATAAAAATATATATTGCGTTTAATAAAAAAGGGCTAAATCCGGTGAGAAAAAATCTGGGGGAGAAGGTTTTCGGGCGTTTGATTCGGCCCCCCCTCCAGTGATTTACAAAAATTGAGACCTTTGAAAAGGCTGCTCTAGAAAACGCAATTCATCTATTTAGTCAACATGTTTCTCCATACGTCATTGTTTGCTTGCTTAATCGTACCCTGCACAACGTTTATTGAGAGCCATTTGACGGTCATTATACCTGGACATCGTGCTCGCAAACACCAAATGTGAACGATCTGACAACTATATTTTTGGGCCGTAATCGCCACATGGCTGATGGTATGACCGGATTTGAAAGACGTTATTATGGAGTCACGGATGCCTGGGTGTCCACGAAATAGCCTCACCAAAATAGTGTGGACTTCTTCGTGGGCTTGTAGCTCAGAAACAAAACGGGCTTAGGTGTTTTGAAGGCCAGGGCTATGAAATGAATCACCGATGATCTTTCCAGGTGGCTATTTCAGCTCAAAAACCTCACACAGATTTGGAGCACTCTCTTTCAGCTTTTGTTCATTCACTCTTGTTGGGAAAAACAGGTGAGCCACAATAACAATGGAGTGCATCGTCCGTTTACATGGATCAATGTAAAAGGAACTATCCAAATTAAGCTAATAATAAGTTGTGAATGTTGCGACGAGACAACTGAGCTCGACTTTTTGAAACCGATGCACGCTGCTACGGGAAACAGCACCAACATAGTGTTCACGGTGTGCGTTTTGGAATCGCCGCAGAATGCAACAAACATATTGCACTTATGTTAGTGAGTAAAACCTGAAATATGCTATGTGGGATGTGGCGCTGACGGCGACGACCGGACCGGGTTTTCTTGGAGAAGCCTGTTAAAGCATGACGTCACTCCGCCAGTCACCCCGGCCATTGTCTGCGGTTTTGTGGAGCCGAAGCACGTCGCTGGGGGACGTCAGCATATCGAGGAACCAAGCCCAACGGCTGGAGTGCAGCTATGAGGTTCGGAACAATCCTAAATAGCGGTGAAGATGCCAACACTAGTGAACCGTGGAACTGACGACACGGATGATGACACGGTGACACGTGGTGCCGCCGACATGTGCAACACCACGAAGGTGTCGCCGACACGTATGACTTCACGGGGTGCCACCGAACCCGTGACTTCACGGAGGTGCCGCCGACACGTGTAACTTCATAGGGTTCCGCCGATGCGCGTGACTTCACGGGGTGCCGCCGACACGTGTAACTTCATAGGGTTCCGCCGATGCGCGTGACTTCACGTGGTGCCGCCGACACGCGTGACGTCACGCACTTAGCGGTAGGACCTGGCAGCGGTGACGGTGCCCAAGCCGGGCCGACTGCACCGCCGCCCTGGCAGTGCGACGCAGTGCGGAAGCGTGAGCGTCACCAAAGTCCACCAGAGAGCGCGCACGCGGCTACAGCATCTGCGGCAGCCTGGCCTCGGCCGTGACGATGACGTTGGTGTAGTGGCAGTGGAGCAGCAGCGCGGCCTTGTGGGTGGTAGGTGCCGGCGGTGAGGGTGGCCAGACGGCAACCCACAGCGCCACCTTATTGGCTTGGCGCCACATCACCACGATGAGGAGCGCCGCAGGCGGTGTCAGTCGCACAGCCGGGCGCCGGCCAAGCCAGCCAGCCCATCATCCACACTATCACCACCACACACGTCACACATTTTGTACTGAAAAAGATTCATCACCATGCACTGTTAGCACAGAACGATTCTGAGCGCGCACTGTATCTTTACTAACGACGAATACAAGCAGTTGTGTTTTCCATCACGGTCCACTGCGGAACAGCTGAACGCTTCATATTCCTGTTATGGAAGAACATCAAACAGCGAAGCGTCCTATAACGCTCACGGCGCACCTATGTGTGCTATGCATCGTTGACATGCGTTTTTCAGGGCGCACATTGCCGAGCATGCTCACCAGCGAGCCTGCGGCTATTTACTGGTGGGCGCAATCAACCAGCAGGGCTCGGATTTCTCTGAGCAGTTCTCATGCTGAAATATGCGGCAAAGCACACATATTCACGCTCCGACACGCAAGAGGCACGGCCTTCATTTTAAAACAGTCAATGAAATAATGATTAGATTATATAAAAGCTGCCTTAATAAAGCTGCTTTCTCTCTTAAAGCAAGCACAGCCACTGTATTACCACAACTCACATAAGCTCATTATAAAATGCAGTTTCTGCCGTAGGCAGAGATCATGCTGGCTACGCGCGACGAACCAGCCGAGTTTGATGAGGCGCCCACGTCGTCTGAGTTTAGACACTGTCCCAGGTCGGGGTTATGTGTGACACCAGGTCAGTGGGTCATGCTAAGCCGGGTCAGAGGACCAGATGGCCAGAAAGTCCCAACACTAATTTTATGCATGTCATGCTGATCACGCGATTGGTATACAAGTGCCTTTGTTGAACTTCGTCATGTTAATACCACGTGTGTCTGTTTTTGTTTGTTAGTTCGCCAACAGCGCGCCGGCGTAACGCAGCTGCTCTCCCGTGAGTCACCTCAAAGACAATCAACGGGCGCGCATTCGGTTCAGTATAATGCGGGCTGCACAAGCAAACGCAGCTGGCAATTATCCGCATAGCAGTCGCCTTCATGCCCGTCTGAGCTCTTGAGATCCATCTACCAAGCGCGAACGAGGCCGAGGTCCGCGATTTGCAATTCTCGGGGTCCCTTACACAATGATGAGCTCTTGTGTCGGTCAGGGGCCAGATTACCTAAAAGGGGTCACGTGGCGGCAAGTGGCCCCGATTCGCCCTGAAGCGGTGTTTAGAGAGCCCGAAGGGCCTCTTGACGCCAAAGGTAAGGGGCTCTATTGGAAAGCTGAACGACCCGAAGGGCTAGCTGTGGGTCATATCAAGCACCCCCGCCCGTAGTACCGTCCAATATCAAATGTCAAATGTCAGTGAGAGAAATTCTCTCGTCGATTGGGGACGCCTGAGACAGGGCGTTCCTCTGTTTCGGCCAGAGATCACCAACACCGAACAGTCCGCTCCGTGTCGGTTTGAGCTTAGGGGCCTATTTCTCAAGCGGGGATACGGTCAGGCCCGCAATTTACATCGCCCGGGGCCTCTGCGGCAATGCTGGGCTCCTGCATCGTTCAGGAGCCCCAAGTGCCTTACAGGGTATTGTATATCAACAATGGGTCTCGAGTCGGTCAGTAGAGGATTTGCTCAAAAGGGACGGAGACGGGACCTCAAATTACAAGGCACGCCTGCGTTAGACAGGGCTCTCTGACAATGTCAGAAAAAATAACAATTTATGATGATTGCTCACATTGACGCAATGAAAGAACCCTGTGCCAGTTAGGGGCCTTAGCAGTGAACGGTTGGCCCTCGAACCCAATTCAAGCATGGGCCCGTTAATCCGAACTGGAATCCATGCGCGCTTTACGGGACCACCTGCGGAGATCAGGGATGCTATTGCGACATTGAGGGTTCCGTCGCTGTTCCGAGGTCGACTGCGGGAATGAGAAGGCCTTTTACGTCAGGGAGGGAGCCAAGGTGATAAGATGTATCCCTCTGAAGACCTCTGGATCAGTCAGAAGATCCCGCCCCGTGTCGGCTGAGTAGAAGCCGGAAAACAACCGTAGTGAGACGGAATGGCTCTTCAGCTCTGGCCGCGAACAATAGTGTGTCCCCTAGTGTTCTACTCAAGTGGACTCCTTTCACAGAAAGAAATAACGTGCTTCATTAGTCATGAGTAGGTCAAAGAGTGGGTCGAAGTGAATTAAAAGACGAACAAAGCCATCCCATGCTTGTATGAGAACGTCTATTATTCTACAGAATCAACTAGTAAAACAAATTACATCAAAAGGTTTGAGCCTGCCTGCCCGCGATCTCGGAAGTGAGGACAGCGATGACCTGGGTTGCAGTTTCGGCAAAACCGGACGGCGTTGGCCACCGCAAGTAACACCAGGCGGCGGGAGCCGTGCGCGCGAGAACGACTGCCTTAAAACAATAGTCCCGGATGTCTTTCAGAATTAAGTGACACCGTTCATGGATGAGACTGGGCGCATCTTTTTTACGACTTCAAGGCTATTCTCTGAACACATGAACAGCTGCAGCAGCACGAAAAGTGGAGACTTTCCATTTACTTTTTCAGTTCCATCATCAGATTCCAGCTCAACTTTATGGTGCTGCAAGGGCCAATTCGTTTTCATCGAGCGAGTTCGCAATACATGCCGGTCCATGTGTGCCCACTCTCGGAACACTGTTGGATGCATCGTGCACACATGTCCCTGGAAGACATTACCTGGAATATTGTCTTCCGGACATTCAGGATACGCATAGGATGCACACGTGTAGTGCACACGTGGAGATGATCATACAGCACGTAAGCCGCGGTCATGCATCTCGCAACGATCTTTACGTGGTCCCTGCCGTTTACAGCCTTTGCAGGCGCGCTTGAACGGTGCCGGATTGGACAACCATCTCGGCCCGCAATGTGCCACATTTGAAGATATAAAAGCAAGCATCCTATTGCACCACATGTCATACAACAACCTCATTTTTGACTATTGGTATAATTTTGAATGGGAAAGGCTGCTGTAGACAGCACAATGTCTGTGTCCAGTAAATATGCTCTTTGATAAGTCGTTCGAATACGATTACACACATATTTGAAACACTCTCTTTAACTCTCATGATAGCTCAAGAAGCTGCTGTCGGAAATTGTAACATCAATGCCGCAATCGATTCCCCTGGAACAGATTTCTGCAGCAATACCTGATAATGCCTCAATGGATGCATGGGCTATGCCTGAGCAGCAGTGAATGACCTTGAACAGGCCTTGCTGAAGGCTTTGCCTGGGATGTCACACTAATGTTACAAGCCTGCAGCGCCACTGGTGCCCATGTGCGTTTAAAGAACCGGCCAAATGCCAAGCAATGCTAGCAATGCCAATAAAGACGCTTCGTGCTAGCAATTCAATAGCATGTGTAATAGCTGTCAGCTGTTTACTCCCTGGTCACCACCATGAAAGTAGTACATTTCAATTGACTTGGCTTTTCCGTGTGTGTTCTGTTATGTTTGCAACTCACTAAGTTCTCAAAATGTGTGTGAAATGAATGCTGCAAAAGCTTGGAGCACTCTGTTTAGACAGAAAGACTGTGACAATGCACACCTATATGTATATTGTGTACTAAGTAAAGGGATCTCGTATGATTTATTGCACACGCATATGAGCTGATAAGTGCATTGAAAAAATTGACTAACACTCAAACTCAATGCAAATCAAATGGAAAATATCAGTTTTATAGTGGTGAGCAGCCAGTCCAATGTCTCTCACCCGAGTTGCTACTTCACATAAACTTTTTGAGCTATTTAGACGGATTTCGAGACAAGTAATGCCACCGATCACATCGCGCACGTCTGTTCTATGTACATTGGGTCGAATCTGAATCCCAACATCGAATTTAGGGAACGAGGGAGAGGCCAATCCGTCGTGTTCGTCATCCTTGTCCCCTGTTGGCAGCTCTCCTGTGACGTCACAGTACGGTCTCAGCGAGTGAGGCCGCTGGTTGGTGGCGCAGTAAGCAGTCAGCGGCCCGGCAGGTAGAGTCTCCCCGCCCAGCTCTCAGTAAGCAGTCAGCGGCCCGGCAGGTAGAGGCTCCCCGCCCAGCTCTCAGTAAGCAGTCAGCGGCCCGGCAGAGAGGCTCCCTGCTCAGCTCGTAAGCAGTCAGCGGCCCGGCAGGTAGAGGCTCCCTGCTCAGCTCAGTAAGCAGTCAGCGGCCCAGAGAGGCTCCCCGCCGCTCTCAGTAAGCAGTCAGCGGCTAGAGAGGCTCCCTGCTCAGCTCCAGTAAGCAGCCAGCGGTCTAGCAGACAGGCTCCCTGCCAGCTCTCAGTAAGCAGCCAGCGGCTAGCAGACAGGCTCCCTGCCAGCTCTCAGTAAGCAGCCAGCGGTCTAGCAGACAGGCTCCCTGCTCAGCTCCCAGTAAGCAGCCAGCGGCCTAGCAGACAGGCTCCCTGCTCGGCTCTCAGTAAGCAGTCAGCGGTCTAGAAGACAGACGCTCCCTTCTCAGCTCCCAGTAAGCAGTCAGCGCCCTAGCAGGTAAAGGCTCCCTGCTCAGCTTCATGTGAGCAGTCAGCGGCAAATACCACAAAATCGACGAAAACGTCTGATGTAAGTCTGATTGTCAAGCGTGGCGAATGAAAATCGTCCACCGTAAACACGCCATCTCATTTCAGTTAATGGCCCGTTGCCGTCAAAAGGAATGTTCCGTATCGTTTGCATCTGACCAGATGATCTGGTTTCCATCCCATATTTTCCGGCATGGTGAGATGCATCCAGATGCTTCGCTCATCCTTGCGGCCTTCAAGATCCTCATAGCATATTCTCGTCTTTCTGAAGGCATCTGCAAGTTTTTGGCGTTTCTGGTGTTCGCAGTGTCATGAACCGTCATTTGCTACAGTGGCTGCAAAGACATAACGTATCAAAATGTTACTGAGTGGGCTGTGCCCGGCTGACTAGTCTGAGCTTCAGTTGGCTGACGCCGAAACTCGTGCGAACAGCGGGCCATGTTCACCAGTCATGGTTTCATGTTTCATGCGGCTGCCGCTTTCATTTGACATCTCACCCCGAGTTTTCAGCAGGTAAACCTGAACGGCTGTTTATTTACAGCCAGATTCGTCATCTACGTTGAAGACAAGAATGTACCTGTCGTAAACTTCAGCCCCGAAAACGTACTTGTGGACTGAAGTGGCGTGTGTTCACCTGACGTCCGAAACCAACGGAGGGCTACCACGGGTAAGGGCCTGCAGCTAGAGTATGATGACAAAGACCTCAAGTCAGGATTCAACGCCAGGGCTCATCAGCAGGGTGCGGGAAATGCGAACCCCATGTGAGACATTTCAGGCGAGCACACCGGACGCTGGCGGAAAGCAACAGCATCTGCTAGAGCCGGTGCTAGAGCCACTTCAAACACATTCCGGGCCTGCTGACACAGACCCGGCACCTCCCGAGTCGTTGGCCTCAGAGTCAGAGATACACGACTCGGCGTACAGCTGGGTGGTGATGGGCGCAGTAGCGCTGCAGATGGTGCTAACCGGGGGTATCATGAAGTCCTTTGGCCTGATCATGCTGGCGCTGATGCGGGACCGTGGCCTCTCGGCAGCCCAAGCAGTCACCATACCGGGCATCTTCCTCGGCATTCAGCGCCTGGGGGCTCCGCTGGCCGCGTTGATGTGTCGCCGACTGTCCGAGAGGCATGTGGCCCTGCTCGGCAGCCTCTGCTGCACGCTAGGTCTGGGTCTGAGTGCCCTGGCCGACGTCGCTCGCGTGCTTTACCTCACCAACGGGGTTCTGTTCGGAGCTGGCCTTTGCCTCTGTATGACGTCCAGCTGATAATACTGCAGCAGTACTTCGACAAGCGACGTGGTCTAGCCACCGGCATCATGGCAGCCTCGTTCCCCGTCGGAGGCGTAGTCTTCCCGCCTTTGATAAATCTCCTGCTGAACGAGTTCGGCATGGGTGGCACCTATCTGCTGCTCTGTGGACTGTTAATGCACATGTTCGTCTCGTCGATGCTGTACCGGCCGCCGCATACGCAGAGGATGATCATGCGATTGGACAGAAAGCGACTGCTGCGAAAGAAGTGTAAAACACCCGATACCTTATGCACGAACAAAAGCCACAGCGAGAGACAGCACCTACCCGTGAGCCAGGACATCCAGGCGGCCGTCACTGATTCGGAGCTGAGCTGTGCTGCCAACGGCAGCCCGGCGGTGGCCGTCATACTGCCACCTGCGGTCAACGGCCGCTGGGCGCAGCTGTTGCGCATGCTGGACCTGAAGCTGCTTGCCGACCCGCTCTTCTTGTCGTGCACGTTCTGGGCTTTCATGGTCTGCATGGTTTTCCACACATGAACATGCTCCTGCCGAGCTTCGGCTCGCAAGAAATCAAAATGAGCCGCGACCGCATGGCCAATATGGTGGCCTTCATGGCGCCCATCGAGTTTGTGAGCTCGCTGGCGTTCGGCGCCGTGTTTGACCGCCGGCTCTTCCACAAGCGCTACGGCTGCATCATCACCAGCATGGTTGGAGGCACCGCTGCACTGGCGATGGTGTTCGTGCGATCGAGCGCTGGTCTGTACGTCTTTGCCGCTCTCGGGTACATGACCAGCGGCATTATACTCGTAGCGGTGCCGTTGTTGTTGGTTGAGTATTACGGTGAGGAACGATTCTCGTCAACGTCAACACTGTGTGCCGCGTTGGCGAGTCTGGCGAGCATGACGTCGATGCCCTTGGGCGGCCTGCTGCGCGAGGCGACCGGCTCACACCGTCCGGTATTTGCTGTGATCTCGGCGTGCGTGCTGAGCGGCGGTCTCTCTGTGCTGCTGCACCCCATCATCATACGTACTTGGCCTCAGCGAGCGCCGAAAGCAGCTTGACAATCTCATCATCATACGTGCTTGGCCGCAACGAGCGCCGATGGTCGCCTGACGAACGTTTTTTGGGCGTGATTTTGGTGTGAGCCTTAACCAAACCACAACATCAGAGCAAGAATATGTATATATATTTATATATATATATATATATATATGTTTGTGTATGCGTGTGTGTGTGTGTGTGCTCTTTAATATAAACATATTATGTGCTCTTTTAAGTTGCCGGTTGAGGAATGCATGAAAGGTTGTCATTGCAAGGACGGTGTTCCCCATGAGCACCGTTGAGCCGACTGGGGTCGCTCCTACACCTGTGGTCAGCTCTGCGTCGTTTCAGTACTGATACCTGGCTGCGCGCTGACCACGTATATATTCTTGACATGACAATTTCGAAATGCATTGGGCGTCACCCCCACCTAGCGTTTTCACTTTCCATGAGCTTTGTACCAAGCGTGCAACAGCACAAAGGATCTCGTGGCCAAGGTACACATTCATTGTTTACTGGCAGCCCTAGTGTAGCAGATTGACACTAAAACCGACGATTTACCCTCGTCCCGTGAGTCAAAAGGTCTGAGCAAAAGTCGATACATAATACATCAACATTCCCTAACAGATAGCTGCATTATCCCTAGACGGGCGTGTTGACGTTCCCACCCAAATTTTCCCAGGGATGTTGCTACCGCAGTTCTTGGGAGAGGTTCGCCTCTTCTGGTCGGATCTGCTCCGCTCCCCCTCCCCCTCCCCCACCGCCTCTTGCCCGGCGAAGATTATCAGTGACGCTCAAGCACTTATGATGTTCCTTTACCTTTGTCGTGACTGGTACGCCTGCATCCGTTGTGCTCGCTTGAAATGTCCCATTTGGGGTTCGCGTTCCCGCACCCTGCTGGTGAGTTCTGTCATTGAATCCTGACATGGGGTCTTCGTCATTATACTCTCACTGCAGGCTCTCGATCGTGACAGCCTTCCGTTGATTTCGGGACGTCAGGTGCACACCGTCACTCCAGTTCACAATTACGTTTCAAGGCTGAAGTTAACGACAGGCACGGTCTTGTCTTCAACGTGGTTGACGGATCTGGCTGTGAATAAACAGCCTTTCAGGTTTATCTGCCGAAAACTCGGTGTCAGATGTCAAATGAAAGCGACAGTCGCATGAAACATAAAACCATGACTGGCGACGGGCGAGGCCACTGGTCGTACGAGTTTCGTCGTCAGCCAACTGAAGCTCAGACTGGTCGGCCAGGCACAGCCCACTCAGTAATATTTTGGCATGTTATGTCTTTGCAGCCACTGTAGCAAACGACGGTCCATGACACTGCAAACACCACAAACGCCCAAAAAATCGCAGATGTGTTCAGGTAAACAAAAATGTGCCATGCAAATCTAATATGTCTCAAGAATGGGAGAAGCATCTGGATACACCTAACCATGCCGGATAACATTCAATGGATACCAATCCATCCGGTCAGCTGCAAACGACAACATAACATTCCTATCGACGGCGACGCGCTATTAACAGAACTGTGGTGGTGTGTTTACGGTGGACGAGTTCCATTCACCGCGCCAAACACTCACACTTACATCAACACTTTCGTCGATATTGTGGTATTTGCCGCTTACTGCTTACATGAAGCTGAGCAGGAAGCCTCTACCTGCTAGGCTGCTAACTGCTTACTGGGAGCTGAGAAGGGAGCGTCCGCCTGCCGTGCCGCTAACTGTTAACTGAACTTCGAGCACCATCGACCTGCGGCCTTACTTGCTGAGGCGGTACTGTGACGTCACAAGGCAGCTGCCACACGCGACGAGGATGACAAACACGGTGAGTCAGCCTCCCCCTCCTTCCTCAAATTCGATGTTGGGATTCAGATTTGACCCAACGTGCTTAACTGGAGTGCGCCACCTTTTCTCACTTTGCACTTATAGTC